ATCTTTAGGTGAAAGGAGACGACATAGCGCTGTCAAGAATACACAGGTTCTCCCTCTTCCTCAGTGAAAGGCCGTTTCCCTTACGTCGGTGGTTACATACTACAGGCCCACCATCATTGCTTGGAAACCGTTTTCCCCATAAATTGCTTTGGAATTAAAGGAGAAAGACAATCCAAGCAAACGTGTGCGTCATGATCACACATCTCAGCTCTGCTGTCGGCACAGACTGTTAGGGAAACCTGGACGTGTGCTTTAACGTATGAAAACAGGCTCCCATTAAGTGCAAAACAGCGACAGCCTGACGAGTTTGGCTTAGTACCTGGAGTCTATGCAGAGCAGTCACCGTGAAGTGATACATCCCGATTTCAGGCTGCAAACACGTGTGCAGGCGTTGAGATCTAATGGGGACAAAAATTCTGGAAGCAGCCAGTTGCCTGTCATTCTGACACAACACGGAGGAATCCCAGAAGGTTCAGGGCCAGCTATCATTCTGAAAAACTCAGTAATGGCTCTTCAGAATTCCACATGAATTCGCCCAGAGCAGCCAAATAGCCAGCTGAATAAAACATACCTGAATCTTCTCTGTGGACGCAGCATGACGTGTGTGCACTGGCATTTTAGCAAGTGTGGTGCAAAGTGAGCCTGTCATCTGACACAGGTGCTGGATGTCTGAGACAGCTGTTAAATTCTTGCAGACATACCCACTACATATATATTGTACACACACACATATATTTCAGGGCATTTACATACACACACACGTATCAGGGCATTTATGTACCTCAGGATATAAGTATCAGGGCATATACATATACACGTATATTAGGATAACTTTCTTTTTTTTTAACTATTTTTTATTGATTTATAATCACTTTACAGTGTTGTGTCAAATTCCAGTGTTCAGCACAATCTTTCAGTCATTCATGGACATATACACACTCATTGTTACTTTTTTTTCTCTGTGATTTATCATAACATTTTGTGTATATTTCCCTGTGCTATACAGTGTAATCTTGTTTATCTAGGACTTCAGTAAGTCTTTTTTTTTTACTTGTTATTTAACTTTATTTACTTTCCAAATGCAATTGTTGCAGATCTCAGAAGATGATTTACACTCACTGCTATGGCAGAACGTTGTGGTTAGTAGACCCACCACTGGATCCTCTTAATCAACACGTTCTTCCAATAATTCAGATATTACTGTATCACAAATGCCCCTTTCCATATTTTGATATCTGCTTTTCAGTATAATTATCTTCCTTCTTTATTCTCTAAATCTTATGTTTTTAAAACATTTTCCTGAGAAGGGGTTCTTTCCTAGGATAACTTTCAACTCAAGTACTTTGGGAAACCACCTATTTACTTCATCCTTTTTCCGTTACATTTGAAGCTCCCGTTCTGAATTATCTGAAGATGTGCTCAAGTAAAACCGGAAATCTAGTCTTACATTTTCTAACCGTTTTTCACTTCTGATTCCCCAAAACTCTATTACTTAACTAGATTACCCCCATTTCCCTGTCCTGACCACCAAATGGCTCTTGAGTATTTATAAAATAAAACAAACCTTTGAAGAAAGCCCACTTCCTTCCATTAAGAACAGGTTTTGAAAGGCCATTTCCTAAGAGCAGCGCCCAAAGCGTGGGCCATGACGCACGGCTGGAGAAGCGGTGGCTTCTCCAGGGGACGTCTCCAGGAAGAAGCAGGGGCACCTGTGGTCTCAGAGGGTTGAGAACAGAAGTTGGTACTTCTCTTCCATTGGGTGTCCTGGTTTCCATGACAACGGTCTCTCTGTCCTGAATGTCCTTCTTTGGGGTGAGGCTGGAGGCCTTCCCAGCCTTCGTCCTTCTTTGAGGCCACGACTTGGCCCCTGCCTGTGCCAGTGGGGGCTCGTCCTGGTGTCCCATCTCTGTCCCCTCAGGGCGCTGCCCTCAGCCCTCAGTGTCCTCGCCTCAGCCCCTCGGACCCGCTTCCTTCTCATTAGGAATTCCACCAGCTCTTCCCCAGACCCACCCATGGTTGCTCCCTTCCCCACAGCCAGCCGAGCTCACAGGGTGCATCCAGAGACCCTCTCCTCCCAGGCCCCCTGCGCCGGCCGCCAGTACTGGGTCCCCTCGGCTCCTCGCCTGGGCTTTTCCTCCCCATCCCCCTGGACATGGCTCCCCCAGGCTGTCAGCTCAGAGCCCTTCAACCCAGCAATGAATCCCTTGCCTTCAGAATAATGGAATGCTCCAGCTCTCACACATACGCACACAGCATCACACAGTCACACAGCACCTGCACGCATGGATCAGCCATGTCGCACACACACAGTGCTCCACACGTACACACATCACCTCACACACGCGAACAGTTCTCTTGCGCATGCACCTCACACACGTGCACACAGCCTCTGACACACACCACCTCACACACGTGTGCGTGCTCCTGCACACGTGGAGAGGAGGATGCCAGCGTGAGTGCGGCTGCAGTGACAAGTTGCTACCAGCCCCTGCGCTGTCTCCAGACCCTGCAGAGCCCTGGGTTTGCGTCTCACTGTTTCCATTTTCCCAGGTGAGAAAACCAAAGCCGTGAGAGGTGCAGTGAGGGTCCAGGCTGGTCGGGGCTGGAGCCCAGTGAACACACACACCTGCGCACACCTGTGCCGTATTATGGGGGGAACTCGGGTTCCAGCCACAGACTCCCTGGGGGCCTAGGCAGCAGCCCACGTGGGGCAGGGTCCCCAGTCTCCAGCAGGTGCTCCCGGCTGCCCCAGAGTAACAGCTCAATAGCAAGGCCTGTCTGGAAAAGCAGCGGCCCCTCATCCTCGGTCTTCTGTGGAATGAGTCGGCGGGCCCCGTACACGCTTTGCCGTTTCCGGAGCCCCAGCGTGCACCCCCTGGGAGTCAGCGGCGGGGCCACGGTGCTACAACACAACTCCTCACGCCTGTCCTCGGCCCTCCCTGACGCTGCCCTTGGCTTCCAGCACCACATCCAGAACCACAGCTGTGCAGACGGCATCCGGTGCTCCGACCCACCCACACAGACACAGAGTTTTAGGCAAGGAAGGCCCTGGCCCGGGCCACGTGCCACCAGACAGAAAGGCCCGCTTCAGTCCTCGGGGAGAGACGCCGAGGGCCTGTCCTCTGACCTCCTCACCCCTCTGTGCAAAGCCGCCTTCCTCTGTCCGGCTTCTCCCTCCGTCAGGCGCGGGGCCAGGCTTCTAGGCCATGTCACCTAACGGTTTCTGACAATGCAGCAGACGCTAGCCCTGCTCACGGTTTCACCTTTTTATCAGTTCTCCACATCCATGGATTTTAAAAAGTGGTTTTTGTTCAATGATTACCGCAGTCCAGACAAACAGAGGGGGCAGCTGTGCCCCCACTGTCCGCCACGGCTCCCACGGAGTCCCCACTGGCAGACGGGGACCCGGCATCCACAGGGAGCCTGGGGGCCTTCCTCCCTCCAGTCACCCAAACAGCTGTCCTCGAGTGTCGCCGTTTTGAAACAGGACAGGTCCGCGGAGGGGACTGGCGCTGGGCTCTTTGTGGAAAGCCTTAAATAAAATCTGAAAGAAAAGAGGAAGACCGCATCCCAGGAAGTTCGGAAAATGGGGGAACGGAAACTA